CGGGGGACAAGGGACCATGGTTCTGCGAACTTCACATGGGATAAGGACACTCTGTCGACACAAAAAGAAAAAGGTAGAAGATTTCCTAAAATTTGGTTGAGAGTTCTTTTCCCTGTGAGGTGGTGCGGACTACTGCTCTCTGTCCTCTTCGAATCAAAGAACCTAGAATAGAAATAAGAGGAGACAGTGGGAATGAAGACAGTCTGAGAAAACTGCATGCATGCAGTCAGCTGATCAAAGTGTGCTAAATTTGGGAAATGAAGCCAATTTAAATTGGATCTATATCAGCTGAATATAGGGGAAACTGCAGTTGGTTGTGTGAGACCGCCTCACGCTGCTATATGCGTGAGACTATGTGAAGATAGTAGACTGGGTGCAGAAAGGCACTTCGTCTCCTTTAAAGTGTGAGACCACCTCACGCTGTCATATGTGTGAGACTATGTGAAGATAGTAGACTGGGTGCAGAAAGGCACTTCGTCTCCTTCAAAGTGTGAGATTGCCTCACGCTGCTATATGTGTGAGATTGCCATATGTGAAGCTATAGACTGGGTGCAGAAGCACTTCGTCTCCTTCAAAGTGTGAGACCGCCTCACGCTGTTATATGCGTGAGATTGTCATATGTGAAGCTATAGACTGGGTGCAGAAGCACTTCGTCTCCTTCGAAGTGTGAGACCGCCTCACGCTGTTATATGCGTGAGATTGTCATATGTGAAGCTATAGACTGGGTGCAGACGCATTTCGTCTCCTTCAAAGTGTGAGACCGCCTCACGCTGATATATGTGTGAGGCGGACATATGTGAAGCTAGTAGACTGGGTGCAGAGAGGCACAAGGCCAGTAGTTAAGTGGAACTAGCTAGACTGGGTGCGGAGAAGCACTGGCCAGTAGTTTGGGGAGACAGCCTGGCCCGGGCTATGATGTGTTTTTAGGCTGAATGCCTGGTGATAAAAGGTTCTGGGTAATTGTTGGGATAACAAGGGAAGCGGCAGGCACGAGTGTGTCTGTCCATTGTTGAACTATGAGTTTTAGGTCATTCTTTCATGAGCTCAATTGGTGGTAGCCGACGGACGAGCAGATTCATCTAGTAATACATACGTGGATTTTCTTTCTGTAAAACTCCACTGGAAAGGAGGATTTGTCATGTGGAGTTCTGCTGAGGCTTAAGAAAAAGCCAAAAGGAGAATGAAAGTGGCATATTTCCTCATAAATTCTGATCCAGAACTCTAGAGGGCCGAATAAGTATAATGACGGAATAGTACATATTTGAAATGTACATATATATATCTCTTTTATATATCAAAGACCTCACAAAATCAGTGTTATAATTGGACTTAAATTACAGATACAGATTGGCTTGATGAGCAGGAGATAGAAAAAGAGGTCAATAAGGATAGGCTGAAAAGCCTATTCAGGGATCCCAATTGAACAAGCACGTCCCATATCTCCTGACCAATTGTAGAAAAATCACACAAATTGGAAAAATCAAAACAAGAATCAGGAATAAAAACTGAGGACTGATCCTCAACACAGGAATTGTAGGAATGTTAAAAAAGTACAAAACACTTAAATTAATTTAAAGTAAAAGACTGCTGACTGACCCCAGTGACTGACTTTGACTTTAAACACGTGTGAAAGGCTATACCATTGTGTGATGAAAAAGTGAAGTGTGTGGGTTGATTGGATGTTTGTGTGTGTCTGCTTTGCTCTGTGTCAACTAAGTTCTCTGGCAGTGTTCACAGCCAGACTCTGCATCTGTGTGTGTGTTATGTTATTCAAAGATTGCTGTGTTTTCCTCACTTGTGTTTATTTCATAGCTGTTTATGTGAATACTGTGCTCATTGCGGACATGTTATCAGTTGAGACATAGAAGGTTAAATACTCCTGGGAAAGAGGTTCTGTTCCTAGTACCATGATGAACACTCCTGATATGAAGGTTTCAGCTTATGCTTAAATATAATGTTTTTTTGTTGTGAACACATGTCTTATGCTCCTTAAAAAAATTTCTATGTTAAAGCTGCTGAAATAATGTTTGTGAAAGTATAAAAGATATAAAAAGGGGAAAAAGAAATGAGGTACCACAAGTGCAAAACTTCTAAAACTTCAAATCTAAGGGTCGCTTCTATACGTCTGCCAAAATAATGAATCTTTTAAAATATTATTGAAGCTGTTAATACCAACACTGACTATTGCTATAGAACTTCAGTTAAGGCAAAAGCTTTATACTGTGTATTTTTGGGGAATTTTACAAAACTGCTGGGGATCAAGTTTTAATGTGTGTGCTCATTTGAATAATAAATTTTACAAAAACCATGACCAGAAAGGGAAAATTAGTTTAACTCCAATTGCATTGGTAGGGTGTAAATATCCTGAACACTTAAATGATATCCAAAAACTTACAAAGAAATGGGGACATTGAGTCAAGGGGTTTGAATTTTTATGACCTAAAGGAGGCACATCTGATGTGACTGTGTGTGAGGATTTGGAGCAGAGAATTTAAGACCATAAACACTAAGATAAAAGTAAAACACGCAAAAACAAGTGATTTGGAACTAAAAGTACTGAACATGTTCAAAAGTGAAGGCCAACACTATTTTATGAATAAATTAAAGATTGGGTTTGCAGAGCTGGAAAGCAATAAGGAGAAGGTGGAGAAAAGAAAGTCACAAACATGGGAAATAGGTAAAACAGAAAAGAGATTCTGCAGCCAAATCTAGTATCAGAAAATGTAGGAAATTATCCTTCTCTGTTAGGGAAAGTTAATATAATATGTGATTTTGAGTTTGCTGAGGGAGACAAAGCCCACAACAAACCTTTGCCTTATTCCCTGAAGTAATGATCATAGGTAATTGTTATGTGAATGATAATGCTGAACAATTATATCTGGCCCATAAGATCATATCATAGTTGTATTATTATTGGCCCACCAGTATGAAGTCTGCAGACTTCTTCCAATATAATAATGTAAACTTTAGCACCTTTATTTAAAATGGCCTTAATAAGACAGGAAAATCTGGGAAATTAAAGAGTAAGGAAGACTTGATAAGTGGTCAAGAATGTGGAAAAATATATATTTGGTGTTTTATTTCATGTTTTCAATTTTGCATCTCAAGATTACAAGACAAACATAATTGGATTTTTATTTCGTGCTTTCATTTTGTTCAACTCAGCACTTAGATTTGTGTCATTTTTATACTTTAGATTATTATTATTTTTTTTCTTAATCATGCTCTGATCTTTTGAATTAATAAATAAGAATAGAATAAAAAACTAAAATTTTTCTATCTTAGGTTGCCTTTAAACTTATTATTATTATTCTTTTTTGTATATCTTTTTTGAATTACCGAATGATTTAAAATCATTGCTATTTTTGTCCCATATGTTTTGAAAAGGAAATTGACAGTTTTGGTGAAATGTTGACCCTCTTTGGCCCTGAGGTTAGACCTAAATCCAGGTTATGGCCCTTGCTGTGGTTGAGTTTGACACCCCTGGCCTAGATTATATTCACTTGAAAATGCACTGATAGTATGTTTTAAATCTTAATAAATGGCACACAGGCTAGTTGTGTGACGTGGAAAACCACACACCTTGTTGGGCTGATTGCCAGACTACCACAAACTGAACAGGGGGCAGGGAGATGGATACGAGTTTTTGAGGATGAACTGTAGGGAAAATGTTGACTACACCAGACATGAAAGCACTCTTGGCTCAACTGCTGGGAACTAAGACAAGGAGGAGTTTCTGCACAAGGCAAAACAAGGTTGAATGACGTATCCCATGATAGATGGGAGTGAGTTCAATGCATATTGTGATGTGATGTGGAGGGCGCTGCCAGATGAAGAGCGGAGACTGAAAGAACAGGAAAAGAACATTCAGCGGAAGTTGATACAGCTACAGCTGGGAGAACTGCGAAGCAGAAACAAAGTACAGACTCAGGCCGCGATGGTGGCCACCTCTAAGGGGGACACTGCAAAAGAGACCCAGTGATGCAAACCGTGCAGACGCTAACTGCAGTAAAGCCTGTGACAGTAACCTGTTTAATCACCTGTTGTGAATGTTTATCCTCAGACAGAACCCTGCTCCATAGAGATGATATATCCCGGCAGGGGGAGAGAGTGGAATTCTGACGGATGTGTGACGTCTAAAGACCTGCTGGGGATGTGATCATACCGGACATTTTTGACAACTGCCCAGACCATGGATGCCTCTGGCTGGTGATGTGGTGGGGGGCCCCAGCCCAGACAATGTGAAAGTGGTGGCTAACTACAGTGTGATTTTTGTGGATGATGGAGAAAGTTAATTGCTAGTTTTAATTTTAAACCTGTTGACCTTATAGACCAAAAAGCCCTATGTAGAATTTGGTGCTCACCGCAAGATGTGTACATAGACAGTTATGGTTTATAATTTTAATTAAATATCGTGACCGAATATGCAAAGATATATACTAGAAATTAATTGAGAGAACCGCAGTGCTAATTGAGATCTAGGGTGTAACATTCCTATTCTGTTAGTTTTATACTGATAAATCTAAATACAGCTGTGCTGAATCCGCATACACTCCTCACAGATGTGCCACCTAGTGTAAAAGTAATGGGAAGCTATCAGGGTTCACTAAGGCCACAGAAAATGTTTTAAAGTCAAATAACTAGTTTTGTACCAGTAGTATTAACAAACCAACTCAGGATCTAACTTTCACAGTGATTCACACTGTGCAAGGGGGGAGATGATGAGACAATTAAAACGTGAGATTTTTAGAATATTCTGACAATAATTGATAAACTCTTGGGTCATTGTCAAGAGGTGGAGGCCAGTCGAGCCAGAGCACCAGGTGTACATCAACGTCCTTTGAGGAGGGTGGTACAAAGAACGAGGAGAAGACCTGAACACTGTGGTCCTGGTGAACTCTATTTCAGTGCAAGAAGAAGGCAATATGATGTGGCAACATCTACCGCTGACTGCCCAGAAAAAACAAGGGAAGTATGACTTGATAAGAGAGACTCCCAGAATGACTGTCGCACTCGTCCTGAAAGTAACTGTTTTCCTGGTGTTGCTGCTGAGGGACAATGTGTGGAGAGAGACCGAGAGAGAGACTGATGACAACAATGAGGGTGAAGGTCACACTGGTGCCAGTACAGCTGTGAGAAGAAGAAGTGGGAGACATTGTCATCACGGGTGAGTACGATGCAACCCAAAACACAATCCACACCACTCCAGACAGAGCTAGAACCCATGCCAACATTCACAGATTATTACAGATTTACAATTAGGTTAAGGAAAATCGATAATAAAATTAAAAATATATTTTTTTTATATAGATAATCAGAAACAAGAGAGCCCTACACATTGAGTAGATCTGATATATCGAAGGAAAGGTTACAGATGAATTTATCACATAGGGAGTAAAATGAATGTTCAAAAGTCGTGTGTGGTAATAAAATAACAACTGGAGGCGGTAAATGGAGAAGAGATTTTTGCCAGATTTTTACAAATAAGAGAAGAACTGTTTTTTTAAACCTAAAGTGAAGCAATTATGTGACAGAAATTATTGTTTGATTTGATTTGTTAATTATTCAGCGAAGATGTTTAGATTAAAGGATATTTACATGTAACAAGTCCAGTAACATGTCAATACAGACAAGCATTAAATTGGGTATTTGAAGAGAAAAGATGTGTCTTAAAAGTTTTGAAAGTACTGTTGCAGATACATTTCTAACAAAACAAGCTCCTGGGGGAGGTTTTTCTAAAGCTATGGAGGGTATAGAAAAGCTAAAAGTGGCATTTAGAATTTAGTGAACATGTTTTATTTTAATCACATAAGGATGATTAGTGTTTGATATGATGATCAGGTTTTTATGAAAGTAAGAACTTTCAAACGGGGGACTGTGTAGGGGAATCTCTTCATACATTTAGGTTAAGAAATGTAGAGTAATTATCTTTTAGTAAGAAGCTACAAATAATCTAGGTCGGCCTGCTCCTGCAGCCTCACGACCCTGAGATTGTAAGCAAGGCTGTCTTGCAGGAGCCCGAACTATCTGTCTGTTGGAACATTTAATCTCTGCCAGGGTCAAGATGAGCCTAAACAAAGTGTCGTGGGGCAGACATGTCATCATGGGCAGCCCTCTGCACACACACACACACACACACACACACACACACACACACACACACACACACACACACACACACACACACACCTAACAGCATAAAAGAGAGTAGAAGAAAAGCTAGGGAGGCTTCCCTCGGTCTTGGTCGAGACTCTGTTTGTCATCTGTACTGATTTCTACATCTGTACAATTAAAGACGTCCAGGCTGTTCTCCAGATCTCATCCTGTCTCCTGTGCATTGTTTTACTGAGTTTATGCTGGATTTTCCACAACACTCTTCCCCTTCAGGAGGACTTTAAGTTCCGGGGTTCCAAGGTTTGCTGTTGGAGAAATGGTGTCGATGTCATCACCATGTGGGCTGCACAGTACATCCCAGTCTGTGGTCTCGAACCAGTCCTGCAGCGCTTTTAAGAGCTGAACATTAAAGCTACCATACATAAAATATGAACATATATATTTTGTGTATTTTAAATACTTAAATCAATCAATCAATCAATCAACTTTATTTCTAAAGCACATTTAAAAGAACCACAAGGGTAGCCAAAGTGCTGTACAATGACACATAAAAACAAATAAAACAATCAAAGAACAAGATAAAGCGAGCAGAAATACATTAATGCAAAAGAATAAATAAGTATATAAATAAGCAGGCTCATGGCAAGTGCTAAGATGATAAAAAACAAAAGAACACTACAATGTATCAAAAGCCAAGGAGTAAAAGTGCGTTTTTAAAACTATTATTCTAAACACAATAAAGCGATATAATCAAGATGTCGAGGAATATAACACCAATAACCATTATTAGCTGCAAATACCCTGAACTACGAGAGACATTCAAAAAATCTCAGAAAAATGGGAAAAACAATACAAAGGATTGGATCCAGCATGGCCAAAGGAGGGCACGTTTGATGTTGCAGTGTGTGGGGATATGGAATGTTGCATATATGATTGAAAGCTGGTGATTAAAACTAAAAGTAGCCAAAAGAAAAAGGAGCTGCAATTCAAAATTAAATTGTTCAAAGAAGAAGGCCAAGCCCACAGGAGAACAATTAGGGAGGGCCTAGCTGAACTAAAAAGAAACAAACACAGTGCTGAAAACAAAATGAGACATCAGATGAGTGTGTCAGTAGATGAAGAAGAGAAGAAGGAAGACAAGGGTGAGAAAGACACTAGAGGATTGTATCCGATTCTCAGAGGATCATTCAACATTAAAGGAGATTGTGAATTTTCAAAAAGTGAGACATCAAAGGTCAGAGAAGGGACTTTTGCAGCACGAGGGTCAGAGAGCATTACACAAATTGCAGGTGACCCCCCACAGTACACAGTCAGTCCTGTCATGCCTATCCCAAACCCTGCACAAGACCAGGCTCAGGAGAGACAGACTCAGGCCACACACATACAGCGTTTCTGCCAGAGTGTAGGTCAGCAGCCAGGTCAGATGACCCCACAAAGAATTAATTCCAAGACATTACAGCACTACACAAAAGGCAGGAGTAAAAGAGAAACCAAGTGTGCTAGATTGCTTTGCAGGGTATGATGGCAGGCAGACAGGAACATCATCATGGTGGCTTGATCATGTAGCGATTCGAATTTATAATAAATGTCTGAAGATTAATAATCTCAAATCATGACATTCATGCACTCGTTGAAAGGGGCACCACCCACCCTTAATGGTGGGAAAATAAAGAAAAACAAAAGTTTAATTCAGAAATCAAACATTAAGTCAATCCTTAATTAATCAATCTCATATCATATCAGGGACTCCACTTCTGGAAGAACACTAACAGACAGGAACTTAGAAAGATAATGATCTGTTTAATACAGGATAAGTGAAGGTACAACGTACATGCAATAAATGATGATAAGATAATGAGGATAAATAATAATAGGTGAATAAATAAAGATTCTGAGTCAGGCTAGGAGCACTAAAGTTAACGATAGTGAGTGAATATGTTCTAACATATTAACCTACACTAACTTTGGTGTCAAGATACATTTGGATGTGGATTTGGATGAACCTAGGATTACCAGAATAGGTGAATATCTGAATTATGACCACATGAGACAGCATCAGCCCTGTTTGAGCTCTGGAGGTTTACATACTTAAGTGAGACTGGTCCTTGGAGACCATTTTTCATCGACAAGATGGCGGCGCCCTGTGGAGTCCAGCTACTCTAACAGACTACTCTAACAGATTGACTGCAGATACCCAGGGCATCTATCCGGCTACACTGATCCACCAATATCCACACGGATTAAATAAAATACCCCCGGTCACATCGGCCACGGCTGGAACGCCGCAAGAGAGACTTACCTGAGATTTCCACCAACAGCTCTTCCGGGGCCCTCGCTGGTAAGTCTCCTCCTGTGTTGTCTGATCTGCTTCCTCACCACTGTGGGCTCCAGGACGGAGCCCTGGCGTGTAAGTGTCCTTCTCGGCACAGTCCAATCCCCGATCCAGACTGTCCTCTATCAGATCCTGCCTGGTGTCGTTGGCTGTCTGCTGGCTGTTGTTCTCTCTGTTTCAGCCATGGCTCCACACTCCTCTCCAACCGGCTGTTTCAGCTGTGCCTGTCTGGCGGAAAAGATCCAGGAGCTGGAGCGAAGGATCTCCACTCTCTACCAGATCCAGGAAGCCAAGAAACTCATGGACACCATCGTCTTCAGAACACCACATCCCGACTCCACCGGCTCATCGGATCCAGACCCCGCCGCTCCAAACACCCCTCCCCCGGCTGCGGCGACCACCTCTCCTTCGCCTGCTCATCCATCCCTCTTCCCTGACGTCTCCTCGACAAGGCTGGGAGCAAAACCCAAGGCTAAACCAGAGCCTCCGGCTAGCTCCACTCCATCCCTGCAGGAGCACTGGTCCCACATCACCGCCCGCTCATCCCGTCCGCCTCCCGTGCCCGACCATCCGCACGCTGGGTCCCTCTGGCGGTGCTCGATGCCGTGCTTCACACCTGCACCGTGGATGGCCCGTGTCCCTTCCGTCTCGCCTCAGTTGTCCTCCTCGGCGAGTTCCCCCCCTCCTCCGACATATTCCTCTCTGGTCATGCAGTCTTCACGTCCACTTTTCCCTCGGACGACTTTAATTGTGGGCGACTCCATCGTGAGAAACATCCGCTTTTTTAACGCTATCACGCGGTGTTTCCCCAGTGCGAGGGTCCTTGACATTTTAACACTCCTCCCCACTCTGTTAAAATCTCTGCCAACTTCCATTGAGAGAATCATAATCCATGTCGGTACTAATGACACGTCCCTCCGCCAGACCGAGCTCACGAAGGACCATTTTACCCAACTTTTTAACTTTCTGAGAAACTGTGAACTGTCTGTTTTTATCAGCGGTCCCATTCCCACTTCTGGTCGTGGGTGCGGGGGCTTCAGTAGAGTGCTCAGCCTGCACACCTGGCTCCAATCTGCCTGCCAAGCCCATAGCTTTGCCTTCGTGGACAATTTTATCTTTTTTGGAACCGTTCGTCCCTTTTTAAATCGGATGGTATCCACCCGAACACCACAGGTAGCCGCATGTTAGCGGCTAACCTGCAGCACACTGTACACTGTTTCCCACGTGACTGACTATTTACTTCGCCCCCACACACACCCTCCTCTCCCTCTGTGGTGCACCCACTGCTGACAGGTCCTCCCCAGAGCTCCCCCTGCTGGCAAATTCTGTCACTGACTCCCTCGGCCACAGGTCTTCCCGACATTTTTTCCCCACTCCCTAATAATTACAGTAGCATCCAACTCCTCCCTATTCCTGTCCATATCACCAACAGACACCACTCTAATAGATACACCACCCGGACTGTCAATCACTCTTTTTTAGCAAGCCCATCCATGCTGGCTCCCATCCTCACCAAACATGGACTCGGACTCCTCAACATCCGCTCACTCACCAACAAGGGACACATCATCCATGATCTCCTCACTGACCGCAAGCTGGACTTCCTCTGCATCACTGAAACATGGCAACAACCAAATGACTTCTCATAACTCAACGACTCCACCCCCCGGGACTTCACCTACCTCTCCCACCCCCGCAGCCACGGCCGTGGTGGAGGTATCGCCGTCATCCACCACAAGAAGTGGAAAGTTCTACCGCTGTCCCTGCCTCTTTTCTCCTCACACGAACTTCTGGCAATTACACTCCCTGGACCCACTCCCACCATCATCGCCACCATCTACTGCCCCCCCAAGCCCCACTCTGACTTCTTAAATGACTTTTCGGTTCTACTCACCCATCTATGCACACTCTCACCAAACATAATAATACTGGGGGACTTCAATATCCATATTGACAACACCAACCTGCCCCTCACCAGAGACTTCTCATCTTGCCTGGACAGTTTTGGACTCCATCAATTCATCAACTTCCCGACACACACTAAAGGACACACTCTGGATCTACGCTGCTGCTCTGGCCTCATCCCATCCAACTGCACAGCTGATGATCTCCATGTAAGTGACCACCTCCTCATCTCCTTCAGTATTCCTCTCTGCCTCTCTAGAGTTTTAGAGTTTATTCACCATGCCTCATTACATTCCGCAACCTCAAGAACATAAACATTGACACTCTGCGCTCTAAGATTAACAATATTTTGATCCCAGACTGTTACACTACCCCTGATGACATAACATCCCATTACAACACCTGTTTAAATAACATCCTCAACTCCCTCGCTCCACTCAAAACACGCTCTGTTTCCTTCTCCACAACTGCACCCTGGTACAGCCCCCACCTCCGCTCCATGAAAACCAAAGGCCGCCAACTGGAAAGACTTTACAAGAAAACTGGACTCTCCATTCACAAAGAAATATACACTAACCACATCCGCCGCTACAAGGACTCAATTTCTCACGCAAAGACAGACCACTACTCCGCCCAGATCATCTCCAACAAAGGAAACACCAGGGGCCTCATTTATCAACACTTGCGTGGAACTCATACCAGAAACAAGCGCACGCAAGGTCCTTCACGCTGAAAAAAATCTGTATGTATCAATGTGTGCGGGCGCCGAAAGCCACGTGTGTTTCCTTGATAAATCCCAATCAGCGTGGAATTGAGCGCAGATGTCGGAGTGACTGGGCCCGCCCCCGTTACGCCCTCCTATAAATATGCAGATTTATTTAAATAGGGTCTCCCTGTCCTCGCACGCAGAGAAAATGACAAGAAAAACTAAATTTACGGCGTCCGAGATGGAGGTGCTGGTGGCGGAGGTGGAGGAGCGACAGCGTGTTTTGTTTGGCAGCCTGTCCAGTGGCGTCAGTGCAAAACGAAAACGCTTGGAGTGGGAGAAACTTTGTCAGAGGGTGAACGCGGTGGGTTCCGAGACACGCACCCCCGCAGAGATTTTAAAAAAGTGGTCGGACCTCAAGGTGGAGGTCAAGCGGCGTACAGCTGCCCTCCGGAGGAGTACCGGCCAGACAGGTGGGGGTCCGGGGGAGGAGACCCTCACGCCGTTTGAGCAGCGGGTGGTGGCGATTATGGGGGGCACCTCTGTGGGGGTGATTGTCACCGCTACCCGCGGCGACTCAGACAGCCTGCCGGAGGGTAAGTGGTCTTTCACACAAATGTCCACATGCTCTGCCATAGATGTAAACGCAACAGATACACAGAAGCAGGAATTGAAATCAACCAATATTTTTACTGTGTCACAGAAATCAATGTGTCGGCCGTGTCACCGGCTTGTGGAACCCCGGCCCGCGGCAGCCCCTCCGCCGGCTCAGAGTCGTCGGCCAGGACCAGCGGCATTAGGGCCGCCCCCGGCCCCAGCACCAGCACCAGCGCACCGACAAGCAATGGAGCGTCCACCAACCGCGGCGCTTCCGCTGGACCACCCGGACGCACTGGAAGGGTCCTCACAGAGGCGGTCCTGCAATCACAGGAACAAATAATTAGGGGGATCGCGGGGATCAACGAGCGGCTGGACCGCCTCGTTAATGTGCTCGAGCGTCTGGTGGACAAAATAAATTAATTTGGCTCATTAAACTGTGTATTCACTTCTTACCCATTCACATTGTGGCGATGAGATTCTCCCGCGCGAGGACGGCGGCCCGGCAGGGATCAGCTCGCATCCCTCCGTCTGCTGCTGGTTCGTGATGTGCGGCGACGTGCTGCTCGGCCATGGGGATGTGGTGCAGGTGTGCCACATTGTGGAGGACGCCACACGCCATCACAATGCGGCACACCTTCTCCGGACGATACAGAAGCACGCCGCCACTCTGGTCCAGACAGCGCCACCGACCCTTTAACTGGCCAATGGCCCTCTCCACCACTGACCGAGAGCGAGAGTGGAGATGGTTGTACCTCCGCTTTCGGTCAGTGTGGGGGTTGTGGAGAGGGGTCATCAGCCAGGTCCTGAGGGGGTAGCCACCCTCACCTTCAGAAAAAGCACAGTGTGTTAAGTCTTGGGCTTGATGCGTTGTAATAATAGCAAGCAATAAGCAATCAATAACCCACAACATCCATCGAGTACTCGCAATCAAACACAGAGTACAATACATCAGCGTTGCACACATTTGGTTCAAGTCACTGATGCACGTCAAGTTTCTTGAATAACATTATATCATTACATATTTACTCACCCAGCAGCCACCCGTCTGTCACTGCACCTGCCTGGAGCCTCTCCCCAACAGTGCTGTTGTACAGGATGTGCGAGTCGTGCGTTGAACCGGGCCATCTCGCAACAATGTTGAGCAGATTCATCTGCTAATCACAGATGATCTGCACATTGATGGAGTGAACGCCTTTACGGTTGACGTAGGCATACTCGTCATGGGACGGCGCTTTTATGGCAACATGAGTACAGTCAATAGCTCCGATTACGTTTGGGAATCCGGCTATTGCTGCAAATTGCGTTTTAATATTGGCCTGTTCAACCGCACCGTAGGGGAATTTAATGTACCTGTGAGAGAGGCGGATCAGCTGGTCCACCACCGTGGGCATGGCCCAGCTGATGGTGGGCTGGCTCACCCCAGAACGGTCCGCCATCTCCCGCTGGAAGGACCCTGTAGCCAAGAAGCCGAGTGTGCCCAGCACCAGCGTTGGCACGGGCACCGCTCGGCTTCTGGCCGTTGATCGCTGGAGCGCCGGGCGGAGCTCCTTGCACAGCTCCAGGAGGATGGCCCGCGGTAGCCGGAACCGGCTCATGAGCCACTCGTCGGTGTTCTGGAGCAGGTCCTCCCGCTCCATAAAGTGACGCTCGCGTCGGATGGCACGGTTTTCTATGTCTTCTATCAGCGCAAGTGCTGCCATTGTTAAATGTTGTCTTCTCTATTTGTAGTTGTAGTTGTATGCGCTCTTTTATAGCCCCTCCAGTAATACCGACAGGTGATCGTGTTTGTGTTAATGTGTTACAAATTAACACAATTAACACACGAACAGCTGTCGGATTAACAGTTAATCCACTGCAATGTGTGAACGCTTGTCACATAGTGAGTCACTAAACACCGCCACACAGCGTCGCCAAAGTGCCGTCAACGCGAGCGTCGAATGAGTAAGAAATGTATTAAAAAATATATTAATCCAATATGATTTTACAGCAGAAAAAGTTGTTTTGGCCACTGGGAGGCGCCAAAGGCAGATTTTCATTACATCTGATGCTACAGAAAAACTTAAAATGCATATAAGTAAATTATATTACTAATCTCTGACATATTCAAGACTTTAATACCCTGCAAGAGATGACCAGTTTCTGATCATGTTTTATAAAAAAAAAAGGGTCATTTTCCTTAAATTTTTCCTTCCATTGTTTTTGCTTTTTAAGTGACTTTATGTTTTGAATTGGCCCTTAAAGGGTTAAAATTTTTATTTTCAATGAAACATTTGCTAGTTTTGAACAGGGCAGAAGTAAAATAAGAAATGTATTAAAAAAAATCTGAAAAAAATATTAATCCAATATGATTTTACAGCAGAAAAAGTAGTTTTGGCCACTGGGAGGCGCCAAAGGCAGTTTTTTATTAAATCTGATGCTACAGAAAAACTGAAAATGCATATAAGTAAATTATATTACTAATCTCTGACATAAGACTTTAAGATTAAGACTTTAATACCCTGCAAGAGATTACCAGTTTCTGATCATGTTTTATAAAAAAAATGGGTCATTTTCCTTCAATTTTTGCTAAATTTGTGACTTTTTGTCGTAAATTGGCACGTAAAGGGTTAAAAAAATTGTTTTTAATGGAACATTTGCTAGTTTCGAACAGGGCAGAAGTAAAATCAGAGATTTGTGAAAAAAAATCAGAAAAAAATATTAATCCAATATGATTTTACAGCCGACAAAACAAGTGGCTTTCAACAGCCATGAGGGACTTTAGAGGGAGTTTTCCTGTCCTGGCTTTATTATTGACCTGGTGAAAATTTTGAATTCATGTTTTCAAATAAAATGTCAAATTAAGCTTAGAAAAAAAATTCATCACATTTGCTGCAGTAAAAAAAAAGTTATATCCAAATTAGTCTCTAGTTTTATCATAAATCGGTTAAAAGCCCGAAGGTTCCTGAAGGGTTAATTAAATTTTAATTGGTATTATTCATTTCCTTATTTATTCCTTTGCTGTTGTTCATGTTTTAATGTTGCTTTGTTGATCTTAACTGTTTGATGATTAATGATTTTAATTGTTAATAGTGCTTTATTATTGTTTTTATATGTTCTGTAAAGTGTCCTTGAGTGACGTGAAAGGCGCTTCAAATAAAATGTATTATTTTTATTATTATTATTATAAGATGGAGCAGGTACCGAAGGTCCGGGCTACCGGCGGTTCTAGAGGTTTAGCTCAGAAGACGACTGAAGTCAGCCGTAGGATGGGCCAGGAGTTGCAGTACTGGGGCCCAAAGCAAAAGGCTCAATGACCAGTCGAAACTATTTCAAAAATGGCTTTGCGAAATTAAAGAAAAATCAATCAAAAGCGTAATCTTGAATTGCTATGCACACAAAAAGTTGAAGTTTCAAAACTTGAACTTAGACGATGTTAAAGAAGAATCAACGTGAATGAACATGTGGTGTAAAACTTAGAGGACTAAGAAAAAGTAAGATTAAGTAGTAAGAGCTAAGAGAAAAAGAAAGAGGAACACAGAAGGGTGTGGACAGTGAGTGAAGAAGCGGGTGATCTAACTTATACTTTTGGCTGGTAAAAGAGTCAGATCTGATACTCACTATGATTAATATGATTGAATGCTTGGTTTCATGATAAATAATTTGATACTAAACACATATAAAGAAATGTAGGATCACATCAAACATTCTTATTATGTTTTAAAGGGGACCTGCCATCAAAATTCCATACCCATTTTTATCATTTTTTCATAATCCTTGATGTCCTCTGATCATGTTTGCAACATAATTTTAGCTGAAAAGTTATTTGATGGTTTGTTATAGTATGCCTAAAAAACCTTACAGGAAAACCAACTGATTTTGGCTCATTAACATTTATGGTAATGAGCTTTGCTCTGATTGGATCGCTGCTGTGAAGCCTGCTGTGCTCTGATTGGCTCAACAGTGGAGGTTCGGATTTCGGTTTATCCATTTTTTCCATAATGTGTGCTAAAGTAAGGTGCCCAGATGTCTGTAATGATATCCGGGGATATTCGGTGTGGTGGCGGCTGCGGGGAGGGTGCAGGGGCTGCAGGGGCTGCAGGGGCTGTGTGATCACAGACAAAATCTCTGTACTATTTAGTAGCAGCGCATGCCCCTTGTAATAACCCCCGTAAGAACTGTTGTTTAGGACTGCTTACTTGTGCTTCCTACCTATTCGGCTACCGTAATAACTGTTGTTCGAGCCCACACGCAACATTTTTGCTCTCATTCATGATTAATCAAATCTTAAATCTGGGACATTTTCAGGGACAGCTTTTGCCGGGGACAGGTCATCCAATACGGGGACTGTCCCCGGAAATCGGGGACGTCTGGTCACCTTATGCTAAAGGCTAAAAATGGCAGGTATTAAACCATATATTTTTGACCCCAAGTCCGAAGAGGAGGTGGAAGTTGAAGAAGAAGCCGGAGATCTCCAGCGGTGTTTTCTCATTCATTCTGCCCAGCTTTAAGTTCATTTTCCTGGCAGTGAATCCAAGGAAACACTGGTCGTTTGGAAGAGACCCATAGCGGATACAGTGGTAGCTGGGTCTCGCTCTGGCTGGAGTGTGATTGAGTGACTGTGAATGAGTACAAGAAAGAGACAGTGGGCGCGGCTCACCGAGGACGCGCTCGTGAATAATAATGAGCAAGGTCAGCGCAACGTCAGAGGGACCTGCTTTTTCAATTGGCCTGGTTTACCCGTTCCTTTATTTTAAACCTTTACAGAACGCAAACGACGTAACGGTTTGTTTGCACATTTACAACATAAGACGAACATAATATGGACCTTATCTGACACAAAAAACACAAAAAATTACATTTTGATGGCAGGTCCCCTTTAAGTATCACATTGAACATGCTAAATTCCTCTGAAATGAAACAGATAGTAACGCATAGAAACTGTGAACAAAAGAGTAAACACATGTGAATGAACTTCATCATGAGTAATAATGGATTCTAAATACTCACATTCAGATTATTCAATGACATTATAACCACCAAATGGTTAAAAATACTAATAAACGATTTAAATATAAACCAAACATTTCTAAACCATTTCTGTTACTTAGAGTAAAGTTATGATTCATAGTCAATAAATTTAACTCTGAAAAGTTTATGAAACAGTCTGAAAGCTGTTGGTCTAAAGAAACTAAAGAATAAAGGATTTATTCTGTCAGAGTGATAACTTGGCTTCTGGAGCACATAGAAAAACGGGAAACTTCTCATTTTTACACAAATTTCATGATTAGACAGATTAGTACATTGCTGAATGCATAAAATGTCATGATCAGTCATTTGTATTCTCTCTCCAAAGGAATGCAGTTTTTATCAGTACATGGTTGAGCAGGGTATTACATCCGAGGTCTGGAGGTCAGTGTCCTGCTCCTCAGACCTTATCTTGGGGCCGTATGTTTAAGACGGTAAATCTCAAATGGGAGACCTGGATTGAGGCATGAATGATTATTTAGATGGTCAGCGATGGCGTCAGTTTGAAAGGTAATAAAAACTCTGTCTCTGTTTGACCAATCGTGAAGAGTCAGAGGTTTGGTCAATCTCCGGTCGTGTCAGTTAGGTAACCTGAAAGTTCAAACAAGTCTGGAAAGATTTATATCCTGTGTCCTGGGACCTGATAAGGAAACTTTCCTGCAAGGAATGTGTGAGTTTC